ACAACCTGACCGTTATAATCTGATCCGCTCTAACGTGAGGCAAACAAAAATTACCCTTGTTTCTGAGCACAGAGAAATCCTTCAACTCTCTCTCTCTCTCTGTTTCTCTCTAGATTCCCCAAATGGGGAACAAAATTGGAAAGATGAGATTAACGAGGCAAGTTGTAGATGAAGAGTACACAAAGCCTCAAGGCCTGTACCCACCACACAAAGACACTGATTATAAGCAGCTGAGAAAGCTAATTCTTGATTCAAAGTTGGCTCCCTGTTATCCTGGACTCGATGAATGCCGTGCCCCCCATCTCGATGAATGCCCCATTTGCTTTCTGGTAATTGAATCTCTCCTTGCCTTCAACTTTTGGATTTTTTTTTTCTTTCTTTCTTTGTTTTTTTAATGTAGTTATAGTCATTCCTTTTTTTCCCCCCTCTCTTTTTAGTATTATCCGAGTCTTAATCGTTCGAGATGCTGCAGAAAACTGATATGTACAGGTACTGGGTAATGTTGAGTTTGGTTGTTAATGGAGTTCCCGGGATTAGTTTGGTTAAAAATTTTGACCTTGTTTCTCTTTGGTTTTGATTTGATTTGCTGCAGAGTGTTTCTTGCAGATAAAGCCGACCCGCTCTAGTAGAGCAGCAAAGTATCCTTCTGGTTATCGTTCGCGTGTTATTGAGTCCGAGTAAGAGATTTCAGATATGGGTCTTGTAAGTTTAAATTAGGTTACATACTTGTATACTTTTCAGTTGAAAACCCAAATAGATGTTGGAGATTCTGATTTTAGCCATCTATAACCTTAAGCGAAAGTCAGAATTTTCGCGGTAATATTTTTGATAAGTTCCCCAAAACTTTCTAACATTTACCTAAAAAAATTGTCCCCTAGTGTGTAGCTTTAGGCGCTTTAATTCCCCGTAACTTGTTAAAGTTCCGAACGATAATGTGCTAGTTTTGTTATTGTTGTTGGCAAAATTACTGATGAATGTAACATTTAATTATTAGAATTTAATGGAGGTTTCATCTAACAACAGAGGGAGGTGAGAAGGGTTAAAATGCATCAATTAAAAGTTATGGCAGTTATGATCTTCAACCTTGTTGAAAATTTGAGGATGTCCTTAACACCGTAAGATGCCCTTTCTGCAAAACTACTAACTATTTGGTGGAATATCGTGGCACGAGAACGAAAGAAGAGAAGAAGATGGAGCAAATTGTGAGTTTCCATGTCTAATTATAGCCTACAATTTTCTTTTTGGACTGTGACCTATTGTTGCTAATTCTGTGTATTGTGCGTCTTTCTATACCTAGGAAGAACAGAGGGTAATAGAGGCACAAATAAGGATGCAAGTTCAAGAGATTCGAGATGAAGAAGAAAGAATTAGAAAGAAGAAAAAGATAAGTTCGCCGAGCACAACAGTGGAAGTGGAATGTCAATACATACCAAATTCCCGTCATCGAGGTTCTACCCTGCACAAATATTTTCTATGAACGTAATGTTTGTATCACTTACATTTACAATTCCATAACTAACCAGATGATGAATTCATTTCTTCTCAGGTTCATGTAGCGTACCAGAAAATACATGGGTTTCTGAATCCAGGCACAACATGTATGTAGTCTGCGTGAATGCAAGTTTATTGATTTTATTTGATTTTGAGCTGTAAATTTTTTTTAGATGTTGTTTAATGTTTGAATAAATCTGCTTAACCTATGAAACTTATGTAAAGCGTAAACCATCTTTTTTATTACTAGTTACTAATCATTATTCAACTAATATGTGTAAAGAGTAAAGGGGTATATTATTAGTAAGGAAAAATGGCACAGAGAACGGTTACGGTTTTGTTTGACAATTTATTTTGAAAGGAGCGGGAGTTATATTTCTGAAAATCTTTGGGAAGTTTCCATGACAAGATTCAAAAACGTAGGATGGTTATTTGATAAACAGTGAAAAGTCAGGGAGATTTAGCGGAAATGAACCATAAATGGAGAAAGATCTAATTTAGCTTTTTTTTCCTCTTCATAATCGATAATTCCGAATATGTCACCCTATGCATGCTTTTTCTTGATTTATTTTCCAAATAATTATGCACTACAATGATAATGCGAATAATGTTGCCTCCCTATCAGCTTCTCCACGTTTGTTTTCTAATTTTCTTAGAATACCCAACCTTTTGTTTGCAAATTACTGGAAAATATATTAAGTATGTAACAGGCTCGCAAAGCTCTGGTAAAATATCTCTCTCATCATTAGTAATTTACTACGTAATTGCAGGGAAGATATCTTTGATATGGATCTTGATGACACAATGGTCTACAAACCAACATGGCTTCCGACCGAGGTAATATTACATTTATTTTCCCATTATTTAACCATAGTAACAAAAAGAAAAAACCCAGTAGGAGGTCATTATTTTGCCCTAAAATTTGTAAAGGAGCATATCATTTAAACAGTATTAGGTTTCTCAAGTCATCGCAGATGTCTGGTTGTAGCGAATACAGACTATATATTTTATGCATGCGGCAAGGAGACGTACTTTTCTTCGTTTCCATTTAAATTGAAGCATGCCTTACCGGCTGTTAAAGGGAAAAGAAATTATTCGGTAAAAGAACCAAAGAAGTTTATGTTTGCATATAGCAAGATCTCAAATTCATTTGGTAAATTTTTTTTCTATTTAATCAGGACCAAGGAACCGAGAACAATGCTCCCAGTAGCAGCAGAAATTTTCCGAGGCAAACGTCCTCACAAGATCTCTATACCCCATCCGCAACATCACCACCAGAAGCATGGGACTCAGCAGACTCTATAAACTCCTCAAGCAGCTCGCTTACCAGAGTACAGAATGAGCTAGTGAGTAGTATTCCAGAGAGCTGGACCGAAAAGTTATTAAACAATAGAAAGTCCTCACCGAGAGAGTATTCTGGTTCTGACTGGAGAACTAACCATGAGGTGAGTGAAAGAGGCATGGGATATGCAACTCGTCTATTTCCTGATAGTTTGGAGGAGCAAATGATGGTGGCCATGGCGGTTTCGCTTGACGAGAATCGAGCAAGGTCACAGGGAGTAACCTGGCTACAGTAGTTAGTGTTTGATTGTATCCTTCTTTCCTCCTTGCTGTCTGGGATTTTTCGCCTTTGTTTCTACTCTTCTTGCTTGTTGTTTTTGTACAGTATGTATGTACAGATGGGTCAGGATCTGGAAAGGAAACGATACGTATTGTTTGCTCTGTATAGGATTGATTCGTTGACATTGTATAGTGTATATATAGATGTAGTTTGCTCTGTATAATAGGATTGATTCATTGACATTGTATATAGTGTATATAGATATAGTTCTATGGAGTCTTTACAGTGGTCCATTGCTTTGCTATGATGTACAGTGGTGCAGTCTAGCTTCATTCCTTGTATATATGCTAATGCCAAGATTTTTTTTTTTTTTTTGGTCATGTTATTTTATATATAGGATTAATGGCAGGTGCATTCCTTTTACTATAGATCTCTTGAAATCTATCACACTCTCATCTCGGACATTAACAGATAGAATCTTTGACTACTGAAAGTGCATTTATATGACAATCTCGAAGGGGTAAGGGAACTAGAAGAATTATGGGGTAATCGACCCATATTTCCGTATGAACAATCTCCATTGACACAAAAAGAACACGGTATAATGCATAATAGTTGCATAAGCAATAGCCTGCTTTATTAATAAATTGAAATTTTTGAACCCCAACCACAATCACCACTCTTCAGCCACGGATAAGTTGTCGATGCCTCTCACTGCAATACAAGTTTAAAAGTTGATAAACTAGATGCTACACTTGTTAAAACATCAATGCCCATCATTCACAGAGACATGCACCAACTATAATCTACAACAACTATGAAAAATTCATCAACAAAAGGCATAAGATGGAGTACTCATCAATGAAGAATCTGACTGCCGTAATCATCGTTGAACTTCTCATAGCGGTGAGCATGGAGATGGGCTGATGGCCTTGTGTTCTTCAGGGCTGCCTCTATATCTTTGGGTGTCACCGGACCAACTGCCGGTAACTCTGAAATCCATACCAAGTTTGGTGATAATCAATTAGAATAAAATGGTACATAATTCATTTAAGGACAAATTTTGAAAACCATACTGTTTATAAACATAATTACAAAAAACGACCTATTTGCAACTTAATTATCAAAATCGACCCAGTTTCAACCAACTGGCTGAAACTTGGTCGATTTTGATAAAAAAAATCACGAAACTTCACGAGACTTCAAGTCCCGTGAAGTTTAAGCCCTCGTTAAGCAAGGTGATTAGAAGGCATATAAGTTCACGGGACTTGAAGTCCCGTGAAAAGTTTTTATTTGGCCAAACTTCACGGGACTTCAAGTCCAGTGAAGTTTCAGGTAAATTTTCAAGATGGTAGACTGAGGGCTTCTGGCATGTTGACTGACTCTATAATGATGGGGATCGTAAACTCTACAATGGAGAATGCCTACAAAAAATAGCTGCTCAAAAGAAGGAGATCTGGTGCGGTTGAACGAGAAATTTAGATTCTGCGAGCTGGCCACAATACAGCTAGAATGATGCTTAAAGTTCTTGCAACAACAACAAAGACAACAACAAGAGGAGACTCATGAGAACACCAGCAACAACATTCATCATTTTGTTGCGAGCAACTACGATCGTGAGAGGCGGCTTTCTGACCTGTTGGTGACCAGGGATTGTATCCATAACAGGCTCAAGGAGACCGAGCTGATGATAGCTGAGAAAGATAGAGAGCCATCTGAGAGGATGGAGATTGAGTCTAACCTTAGATTAGCTTTGGAAGTCAAGGATGAAGACATACAGCTGAAACTTCACGAGACTTCAAGTCCCGTGAAGTTTGGCCAAATAAAAATTTTTCACGGGACTTCAAGTCCCGTGAACTTATATGCCTCCTAATCACCTTGCTTAACGAGGGCTTAAATTGTTGTGCGCAGCGGAAATTTCGACAACACTTCTTCTGATGCACAACAAGAGAGTAAAATCACAACCAAATCCCTGTTTCACAAAGGAAACAAGAATCGAAAGTAATATATCTCAACAAAGTGGGATATACACTCTTCCTCTTATCAGTTCTAGGACTGACTTGTAGAGGGAACCTAATAAGCTATTACAAATCATAGCAAGACAAACTATTTTGCGTGGCTCGGCAAGTTGCCTACGTCCACGGGGCAAGGAGGGGAGAGATCTACTATTAGAGAGAGAGAGAATACAAATAGGGTTTATAATCACACAAAATCTCACAAATAAAACCCTCAAACAAGCTCTCAAATCTCACACAAATATCTCTTCCAAAGTGATGCACAAACCCTTGCTACAGCCGAAAAGCCTCTGCAGTTTTTTTTTCTGCACTTTTCTTTTCACGCAACTGTAGCCGCTTTTTCTCCCCTGCTCGCACAGCCGAAGAAACCACAACCAAATTCTTTTTCACTTCACCTTAGGGAAAACACATTGGTATTTAACTATTTATAAACCTCAACCTCGGGTGGGTCATCACCACGTCCACGAAAAGAAAACCGCTCGCTGCACATGTACCTGATGCACATGTACCTCGGGTGGGCCAGGTTCGTTCACACTTGCCGCTTGCTGCTTCACTTGGTGGGTGTGGCCCCTACGCCCCACGTTCACAATTATTCACTTCGGCGAAGTTTTTCTAAAACTGAGCCGATACCAAAGCAACTAAATATCCCGCTTGTTGTGTCCAGTACGTCGTGAAGTTAATTCACGACAACAGACTCAATCCACAACAAGTCGGGAATCCGAACGAGTGTCCAAACAATCTCACCCTCATCAAAATCAACTACTCCAAACTGGTTGCATCAAACATAACTGCCTACGTATCCTCTTGCCCAATGAATTAAGCCGAACGTAGTTCACCCAAATGGCTTCCAAAGGCGTCAACACCGAAGAATGTTCAAAAGCTCCAAACAATGACCGAACTTAACACCTGAAACAACTTTGGTCAACATATCTGCATGGTTGTCCTTTGTGTGGATCTTCTCCAATATGACATCATTGTCATCCAAAACATCACGAACAAAGTGGAATCTGACATCAATGTGCTTCGTGCGTGCATGATAGACCTGGTTCTTTGCCAAATAGATAGCCGACATGCTATCACAATACACCCGAATTGTCTCCTGTGCAATCCCCAAGTCTTCCAACAATCCACACAACCACAAAGCCTCCTTCACAGCTTCAGTCACCGTCATATACTCCGCATCTGTAGTAAAGAGAGCCACTGTAGACTGAAGTGTACATCTCCAATATACCGGTGCTCCTGCTAATATAAACATATATCCTGAAGTAGACCGACGCTTGTCAAGATCCCCCACATAATCTGAATCCACGTAACCAATACAATTATATCCTGTCTTCACATTCTTCTGAAAAATCAAACCAACATCAACGGTACCTTTGATATACCGTAGAATCCACTTCACGGCCTCCCAATGACCTTTCCCTGGGTCGTGCATGTACCTGGATACCATGCTCACGGCCTGTGACAAATCTGACCTCGTACACATCATAGCATACATCAAGCTACTCACCGTACTGACATATGAAACCTTCGACATATATTCTTTGTCCTTAATTAAAACAGGCGAGATTTTAGTTGAAAGCTTAAAGTGGAGAGCCAATAGAGTGGTCACTGCCTTTGCATTGCCATCAAAGCTGAATTTCTTCAACATCTTCTGCATATAACTCCTTTGTGTTACCTTCAATCTCCCTTTCGTCCTGTCTCTCTCGATCTCCATACCCAATATCTTCTTCGCCTCTCTGTTTGTGAAAAATTTTGCAGTAAAAAAAAACGAAAGAAAATTTGACTTGTATTCCTTTAATCTCCATTACAATTAAATTTCCTGATTACAAAAGAGAGGAGAATGATCTGGATTCTCCCCTTTGTTTAATTCTGGGTTCTTTACGGTGGCGATGAAGTGCCTCACTCGAATGCTCGCGTCGAGTTTGCTCTCCGTTGACGATCCGACGTTTTGCTTCACTGGAACGTGGTCTTCTCCTTACGATTTGACGTTGTGGAGAACTTGCGTGACAAGTTTGAAAATAACTCTTAACGAGTTAATAACCCAGAGCGAGTTTTAAAAGAACTTGCAGAGCAAGTTTTGAACTCTGATCGAGTTGATAACTCTGAACGAAGTTGATAACTCTGAACGAGTTTGAAACTCTATTAAAGAGTTGATTTAACCGAAAGTCGGTTATAAACCAAGGATGAAGAAGCTCCTATTGCCGATCTCCAAAATCCCAGCCGAATGATGAAGGCTCTTCTTTGCTGCCAAGCTTCAGATCCAAAAAGCCAGCCTCCGATCAACCAAGCCCGCTCTTGACCGAATCTCCCTCCGTTGATGAGACAAAATCCGATCCCTTAACTCAATTGAGTTTCTCGTATTTATATGGGATTAAGGGTGATAACTGCCCCCTTAATCCGCTCCTAAGTGGGGCGGTAATCCCTCAAATCTTGGGGAAAAAACGGTTCCTGGAACTGTTCGGTTCGTGTTTGAACGAGTCAAACGCCGAAAATAGCGTTCTGGGCCCGAACTCTGCGTTTTAGACTAAAAACGCAGAGTTGGGCCTATTTTGGGTGGCTGAACGCACAGGCCGCGATGTGTTGTAAATCTGAAACGCAGAGTTAGGACGCAGAGATGAACTCTGCGTTTTGGACCTGAGACGCAGAGTTGAGACGCAGAGATGAACTCTGCGTTTTGGACCTGAGACGCAGAGTTGGAACGCAGAGTTGGAACACAGAGATGAACTTTGCGTTTTGGCTCCGGAATATAGCCACGACCTTGGCGTTTCGAGTTTGGAACGCAGCCCCGACCTCTGCGTTTTGAGTTTGGAACGTAGCCACGACCTCTGCGTTTTGGATCTGGAACGCAGGCACGACCTCTGCGTTTTGAATCTTGGATGCAGATGTGAGCCATAGGTGGGCTCGGCGAGCTTTAGGCTACGTCCGATGTTCTGACGAAATCCAGTCTTGCAGACGGACTTCAGAACATAACTTGCTACGAAGAACAGGTCATAACTTTCAAACCGTAAGTCGGAATTGAACAAATTATATATGAAAATCGGCTATCTCGACGAGACGGAGCCGACCAAACTAACCCCATAGGGTTCAGTTTGCTCCGTCAGTTTTGCCAAATTCCTTACGGTTTGAGAGATATCTGCGTTTTAATATGAAGAGACCGTCGATTTGTAGTCTCTTTCGCTAGAGCGTTTGCAAAGATCGTCACATTGTAACCTTCGTCTTGGCTCCTTAAAAATATGAGAGTCATCAGATTGTAACTCCTGATGTTAATTGTGAAGGCTGTTGAATTAGAGCTTTCATTAGTTGTTGCGAAGGTCGTCAGATTGTAACCTTCTACGTGAAAGTCTTCAAATTGTAACCTTCTGGAAGTCTTCAGATTGTAACTTCCATCATCGGTGTTTGATGGGGATTGACTATCTGTGGTGATTTTTATATAGCCCACACTCTCCAAGATCCTTTATCTCAAACTCGGATGACAGCTCCTTTTACGACTTTCGAATAGCCGAAGAATTTCTAAAGACAATAAACATATCATCAACATAAAATAACAAATAGATGTACTCACCATCTTGTAGCTTGTGCATGTAAACACATGGGTCATATGGGCTTCTCGTGTACCCTCGGCCAATCATAAAACCGTCGAATCTCTTGTACCATTGTCGCGATGATTGCTTCAATCCGTAAAGAGACTTCTTCAGCTTGCACACTAATTCCTCTTTTCCTGCAGTTTTAAACCCTATAGGTTGTGTCATGTAGATCTCCTCATCTAAATCTCCGTGTAGAAAGGTTGTTTTCACATCCATCTGGACCAAATCCAAATCCAGCTGTGCCACCAATGCCAACAGAATCCTAATTGACGAATGCTTTATAACAGGTGAGAATACCTCGTTGTAATCAACGCCCTCAAGCTGTGCATAACCCTTAGCAACAAATCTGGCTTTGTACCGAATGTCCCCAATATAAAATCATTATTTCTTTGCATACACCCACTTGCCTCCAATAACCTTCTTACCCTTCGGTAGCTTCGCAAGTTTCTAAGTATGGTTCTTCTGAAGAGAGCACATCTCCTCCTCCATAGCTTCCCTCCACCTAATCGAATCAGATCTAGACTCTGCCTACTTGAATGTAGAAGGAACCAAATCATCAACGACCTCTGCTGATAAGGCATATGCAACCTTGATATCATTATATCTAGTTGGCCGACGAATCACCCTTCTCGGTTTGTTTGCTGCAATGGACTTCTGAGCATGACCCTACTCCTGAGTCTCACCATCCATAATATCCTTTAATTGCTCGACTGCCATCTCATCTCCTTCCAGTGTCACCTCTGTAGGAACCTCAATGGATACAATACTATCTGGAGTGGGTGGAGTCACGTCATCCTCCACCTGCTGCGATATCCCTCTTGTCTGGTCTCCCTCACCTGCTGAGGGACTTGAGGTCTCATCATGTACGCATCGTCGAATGTAACATCTCTGCTAATAGCTATCTTCTTGTCCTATGGATCCCACAATTTGAAGCCTTTTACTCCTCTAAAGCCCATAATGATTGCTTTCTTTGCCCTCTGATTCAATTTATCATCACTGACATAGTAATAAGTTGGATACCCAAATATCCGAAGCACCTCATAGTCACTAGCCACCGAACCAGACCAACGCTCCATAGGAGTCTTCTCCTGTATCGCAGTGCACGACAACCTATTCACGAGATGGCTCGCATAAACCAACACCTCGGTCCAAAAGGATCTTGGCAATCCACTCTGCGCCATCATACATCGCACCTTCTCCAGCAAGGTATGGTTTAATCTCTCAGCCACCCCATTCTGTTGCGGTGTCTCGCGTATTGTGAAGTGTCGTCTAATGTCGTGATCCCGACAAAACTGCAGAAACGGATCACTCTTATACTCTCCTCCATTGTCTGAACGAAGAGTCTTCACCTTTCTACATGTCTACAGCTCCACTTTCTTCTTCCACTCCACAAAAATATCCAGGACATCATGTTTATGCTTCATAAGGTATACCAAATTTCTCTTGGAATAATCGTCAATGAAAGTGACAAAATAGTTAGCCCACCAAGTGATGTATATTTGGAAGGGCCCCAAACGTCTATGTGAATGCAGTCCAATATACCTTGGTTATTGTGAATAGCGATGTCAAACTTCACTCTCGTCTTCTTCCCTAATACACAATGCTTACACAGCTCCATCTTGCAAGTCTTCGCACCTTTCAATAGCCATTGTTTTGCCAATGCCTGTAGGGATTTATCACCAGTGTCCTAAACGCATATGCCATAAATTAGTAGTGTCTTACTCTGTAGTGATAGAAGTTGCCAGATCCCCTATAACCGTCTTGCCCTTCAAGTTGTATATGTTGTTTTCCCTGACACCTCGCATCATCACCATGGACCCCTTCGTGACCTTCAGAGTTGTATTCTCCAAAATCACCCGATAATCAGCTGCCTCTAAAGTTCCAAGTGAAATAATGTTCTTCGTTAACTGCGGCACGAACCTTACTTCCTTCAGCTCCCGAGTCACCCAGTCACACATGCGGATCTGAACTGTATCAATACCATTAATAAGGCATACATGATCATTACCCATAAGCACGGCATCCCCTCTTTCTAACTCCTCAAAGCTGAAGAACCAATCCCTCCTAAGAAAAATATGATATGTAGCACCAGAATCCATCATCCACTTCGTAGAGTCAGCGTAAGAAATTTACGGTAATACAGAGCAAGAATAGCCTGAAAAATCCGTATCTGAATTGTCGCCACTAGTCTTGATAACATTCACTTTCGAAGTTTGTTCAACTTTTTTTTTATTCTTCCCGGTTTTATCCTTTAACTTTGGGCGGTCGATCTTCCAATGTCTCTCTTCTTTACAAAAGTGACATTGATTCCTACCAATAAAGTTATGACCACCTCTATTCTTCGATTTTGAGCGGTTGAGCTGACGACGGTTTGGATCACGACCTCAAACTGCTAATGCATCTTCTGATGTCTTCTCGGAGGGTTCATCATCACCCTTCCTCAACTCATAATTTATCAATGCTGAGATCACCTCCTTATAACTAACAGTAATTCTTCCATTGATCATAGTGAGAACGAACGTACCATAATCATCCTCCGGCAACGGACACAAAAGTAGCATCGCCTTGTCTTCATCCTTAATCATGATGTCCACATTGGCCATATCAGAAAGTAGCTTCGTGAAGTTATTTACATGCTCCCTAATAAAAACTCCCCTCTTCATCTTGAACTGGTAAAACTCTTCTTCAAGTGACGCCGATTCTCAATGCTATTAGTAAGATACTTCTCATTAAACGTTTCCCATAATCTCTTCGCCGATGTCTCGTTCATAACATCATAAATAAGATCCGGCATTAAACATAACCGAATAACTCCACAAACCCTACTGATCATTTTCTTCCAAACATTGTCCTCCATATCTTCGGGTTCTCTTGTAACTCAAGAGTCTCCTCCAAATTCTATGCATCCAAGACATCCATCACCTGACACATTCACAATCCGAAATTGATCTTGCTGTCGAACTTCGGAACATCAATCTTTATGTTATTGATGCTCAGACTCTGTATCGTCTTCGTAAGAGACGATCCCGATGTGCTTGTTTCACCAATATTGTAGATCTAACTCTTCAAATAAGAATCCTTCAGCGAATCCTTCGAACAAGCCCCAAGCCAAAACCTGAGCTCTGATATCAATTGTTGTACGTAGCGAAAATTTCGGCAGCACTTCTGGTGCACAACAAGAGAGTAAGATCACAACTAAATACGTGTTTCACAAAGGAAACAAGAATCGAAAGTAATATATCTCAACAAAGTGGGATATACACTCTTCCTCTCATCAGTTCTAAGACTGACTTGTCGAGGGAACCTAATAAGCTATTACAAATCACAGCAAGATAAACCATATAACGTGGTTCGACAAGTTACCTACGTCCACGGGGCAAGGAGGGGAGAGATTTACTATTAGAGAGAGAACACAAATAGGGTTTACAATCACACAAAATCTCACAAATAAAAACCTCAAACAAGCTCTCAAATCTCACACAAATATCTCTTCCAAAGGGATGCATAAACCCTTGCTACAACCGAAAAGCCTCTGCAGTTTTTTTTCTGCACTTTTCTTTTCACGCCACTGTAGCCGCTTTTTCGCCCCTGCTCGCACAACCGAAGAAACCACAGCCAAATTCTTTTTCACTTCACCCAGGGGAAACGTGTTGGTATTTATAAACTTCAACCTCGGGTGGGCTATCACTACGTCCATGAAAAGAAAACCGCCCACTGCACATGTACCTGATGCACATGTACCTCGCGTGGGCTAGGTTCGTTCACACTTGCTGCTTGCTGCTTCACTTGGTGGGTGTGGCCCCCACGCCCCACGTTCACATAAACTTCACAAGACTTAAAGACCCATGAAGTTTCGTGACTTTTTTATCAAAATCGACCCAGTTTAACCCAACTGGCTGAAACTGGGTCGATTGTGATAATTAAGTTGCAAATAGGTCGTTTTTTGTAATTATGTTTCTAAACAGGATGGTTTTCAAAATTTGTCCTTCATTTAAATGAGTGTTAGACAACTATATATACATAGAAAAGTAGCAAAGCTCATATACAAATACATTGGGGCACTACTATTTATAAGATGCTACTATATGTATGTTGTTACTTCTAGGAGTAAATTTCGCAACCAAATAAACTGTGGTGTTTTTAAATTAGAGAAAACCCCTTGTGGTTGGGAACATTTGCCCAAATCTACCCTAAACTAATGGAGATTGTGATAAACGGCGTTAACATGAAGGGTAAAAGGTCTAAACTACTCTTGAAAATAGTTGAGGAGAAGAGGGTAATATAGAAGCTATATTTAAGTGCATAGCCGCAAAGTTTTTCAAAACATGCAACGTATAAAACACAAGACAACTTGGACTAAATGCACTCAATCATGGTATTTTAGCAAAAAAATGAAAAAAAAAGCTCAGGGTATTTCAATAGAGTTATAAAATTAGAATTTTCAAATGCCTACAAGACACTATGGCAATAACTGTACTGCTAGAAGGTTGTATAATCTATTGGAAAAAATCATCAAGAACAGCACTTACCCTCATCAGGCACGACTTCCTCTTGTCGCTCCAAAACCGACATTAACCTCCTAAGAGGTTGCATCGCTGCTTCTTTGCATACCAAGCGGATATCGGAACCAGAATAACCCTCCGTGTTTTCTACCAGAAAATCATATCGAATCTCTTCTTCGCCAGGGACACACGGCAAAAGTTCCTCAAACATTGCTTGTCTTGCTTCTGGTTCTGGAAGAGGTACAAGAATCTGGTATAACACAGACAAGGAAAACTTTAAGGTGAAAATTTTCCAGTAAGATAAAAAAGAAGATAGCATATGAAACTAATAGCTTTGTTATATAATCTTCACTTTTTTCAATAGTAATACCTTAAACCTTTCATATTTTAAAATTAGTCTGTCACATCACTGAAATTGCTATAGGTCACCAATTCTTAGGTTACTTTGAAATTAGTTCCTCAAATCATTGAAATTTATATCAGAACACACAATCTGTATGTTACTGTGAAATTAGTACCTCCAAACAAGAATAGAAGTAGAAATTAGAGGGATTAACTTGAAAGGACTTATGAGAATTGGGGGACATAAATAGCAATTTCAATGATTAGGGGCTAATTTCACAATAACTTAAGAATTGTGGGACATAATAGCAATTTCAATTATTTGAGGGACTTCAAAATATGAAATACTTAAAATAATATAGAAACCCCTATAATCTTTAAAGCATGCATGTAACATATGAGCAAAGGATACCCGCTTCTCAAGGCGCCGGAGCATAGCTGCATCCAATTCCCATGGTAGATTAGTTGCTGCTAACACGAAGACAAGCTCATTTGTCTTCATTAAACCATCCATCTGCATTGAAATTCATAATTATGAATTTCAAGAAAATAACAAAAATGCATGTCTTACAATTAAATAATGCTAGCCTAGGCCCGTTGGTGAGTTTAGCCTTCCCTTATAAGAAAGCATCACTGCACTGTACATGAAATATAGCTTCTAACAACTTATATGGCGGTCTGGAGTTTTTGTCCGGTTAACAAGATTATTACATGATGATACTAAAACCGTCAACTTTGGGCAATTATTCATTGAGATTCTCATTTATGTGTCAACTTTTAACACCTATTTCTTAAACTTGGTCAAAAAAATGAAGTTGACATGTGACAAGCCTCCCTGCACTACAAAATTTAATATGGAGCAGAAAAAGATGCTTTTTCTCAAATAATAATAATAACAATGTAAAGAAACAGACAATATTACCTGTATAAGAAGTTCAGTCTTCAAACGACGACTAGCCTCATGTTCACTACGAGCTTCGCCCCGTTGACTAATGATTGCATCAATCTCATCAAGAAATATGGTAGATGGTGCATGATGCCTTGCAAGCTCAAATAACACTTTTACTAGCTTCTCCGAATCACCTGCAGATTTGCAACAATGATTTATGCAATGTGAAAAGTGACATAATGCTAACTACTAACTAACCATTTGCTGACTAACTTCCATCGTCATTTTCCAATAAATGAAAACTAGGTATATAAGGAATTATAACTGCACGAGGCAAAGATTGGCCATCACATGAGTTTTCTTTTAAAAATGCAAGTACATGATTAACTGCTTAGCATCTAGGAAAACACAATAATGTAACAGAACGAAAGTTAAATTCTGCAAGTGAACTAACAGATAAAATGACAATATTGAAAGGGATAAGTAAAAGGAAATTATGTTCATACCTCGCCATTTGCTCACAATTGATGAGGCTGAAATATTGAAAAATGTAGTCTTGCATTCAGTTGCCACAGCTTTTGCAAGCATAGTCTGATATAAGTAGTAATAAAAGCAATTAGCATAGCTCATAGGCTAGAATATGTAGCATATTTGACATGATGAACATGTAAAAGGGAGATACAGATTCCAGTACATGGATTGAATAGGCAAAAAATACTGAAGCTACAGGCAAATTCGAAAAAACTATTGCAGTGAGAAATATGAATGCATTATTCTACATGAAATGCAACTGATAACAATACATGTACTACATATAAAATAGCTATAAGCCCATCTCATGTGTACAGCAAGGAAGGCAACTGATAACAATACATGTACTACATATAAAATAGCTATAAGCCCATCTCATGTGTACAGCAAGGAAGGCTTGACAAAAATGAGCAAACTATGCATATAAAATAGCTATAAGCCCATCTCATGTGTACAGCAAGGAAGGCTTGACAAAAATGAGCAAACTATGTGAAGTTGGACCTTTGCCATTTACATGAAATTTAGTTTTTATCATAAAAAAACTCTTCAGTAAGACTGCCATCACTATCCAAATCATTCAAATCAATGTATGCCATGAATACAAGGTAAATATTCTCATCAAGATATGGAATTATGATGCTCTAACATGAAGCAAGTTCTGCATTCCAAATGTATATATCAAACACTGTAGGATTGCTTCCACAGAAAATTTGGTAATACAAGATCTAGAAAACAGAAAATCCCATGTAAACAAACATGGAGGCTCACAGATATATCAAGACTAAATTATACTATGGGCATGCACTTCACATAAAGTAATCAATGGAAATGATTCTACCAAGACTCGTGTTTTTCAGGTACAAACCTTTCCAGTACCTGGAGGGCCAAATAGTAAGATACCTTTCCAAGGTGAAAGAAGGCCAGTGAAGTACCTAGATAACAAATACGAATAATAAGAATCCATCTCAAAGTTTTATGATTTAAAATTGAGAAGCTTAAGTAACAACCATGACATGTCAATAATTGTAATGTAACATAAGCAAATTTAAGAATAGACTATAATTCCTAGCATCCAAATGTCAGCACAGCTATATAGTGTCAGTGTAAGCTCACGCAAATGTTATTACTTACTTTGGGTATTTTATAGGCATGACTACTGCTTCTTTAAGAAGCTTTTTTGCATTATCTAACCCTTTGATGCTTTCCCATTTCACATCTGGGCTACCACGGATAATATCCCTGTAGAAGAACATGGATGAGAAACAATTGTAATGGTTTTCTATGTAGATACACCAAAGTCAACAGTTAGATAATTTAAATTAGACATACAGAACCACCTAAAGGGTGACAATCCTTAATGAAGTTACCTGCACAAGGTCTCTGCCAAAGTTCGTGTTTCTGCAGAATCAAATTCCGGAAGTAGGGGCCTTTGCCTGCAAAAGTTTTCAATTCACAAAAAAAGAATGCCGAAAAGATAGTTCCACAACATTTAAACGCTAATATAATGGTTTGATTCTTCAGAAATCCTTCTTCGTGGGGGAATAAAAGAAGTGTGAACATCAAAAATGTGCGAAAATACCCGACACAAGAAGTCATCATCCTTACACTACAAACACCCATTTATTAATCAAACACAACTTAAGATTACACCAAATGTAGGTTTCCAGAAATTGAAAGAATTCACCAGAAATTGCGAAATTCACATCTAAAAAACATCATTCAGGTTGAAACTTAGCTACCAAAAGTAAAATGTTCAATGAAATCTTACGGTGTCCCCAAATTTCCATTTGAAATGACTCCTGGGCGTTCCTAAAATAAGTCAGAAAGCTACACAGTTAATTAAACCGCCATAACGCGTGTGCATTTTACACTGAAGTTTCTTGAATTCAAATTGAAACCTGACGCTCGAATTGCTCGAAGACAGCTAACTCTGGTGTGTTCTTGGTTCCTCCATTTGCGTGGGCAGCACCATTAGAATTGCCATCTGGCCTCGATTCTGTTGTCTCTTCATTTTCTTCCTTCTTCCTTCCAAACCTTGAGTTATAGAACATCTTGAAATCCTACAAGATCATGTTAAAAAAGTATTACAAATTAGGATTAGATGTTTGAAGAGGGGGGAAATAAAGTCAATGAACAGTAATTAATTCTCTTCAACTCCTTAAGAAAGGTATCAAATTGATAAGTACATTATAAACCAAAAGACCAAAAGCATCAAATCTGGGGGGATAATTCCAGTTTTAATGCATAAATACTCTGGATTTTAAAACAGAAAAAAAAAACCCAAATGCAGAAAATTCAAAATTTGCATCCACCGTTCACTGAAATCTAATGCAAGTTCTCAAACTGGTAGAAGTCGCACACAGACACAGCCCATATTCAATTTCTCAGGGGGGAAATCTCAATTTTTGTATTACCAACAGCTAAAAGCCAACAAGAAGAGATGAGACAGATCAAAATCAGCTAATAGTAAGAAATGGGTCTTCTCATTTCCAAAATCCAACTTCAACAACAACTAAAAATACCTTCAAAAATTAAAAAATAACAATAATAATTAAAAAGGGGGGAATATAAAAAGGACCCACCAAAAAGAAAGTAGCAAGGCCGAGATTTACAACAGCAATCGGGATCAACAAAGCGAAGTAGAGCAGCAACATCCCAGCTCAAAGTAGGGAAATTTTTTGGGACCTAATTTCTATTTTTTATTTTATTTTAATTATTCACCTCGAATGACCAGCGAGTGGGAGCTGGGTCTTCTCCTCCCATAAAATCTATACCAACTCTTCACACTGAATCTGCTACATATAGATAGAAGGACAAATTTTCAAAAGCAACCCATTTGATAAACTAATTGCAAAAAACGACCCATTTGGGATTTATTTAGAGAAACCGACCTGGTTTCAGCACTGTCGCTGAAACCAGGTCGGTTTTTCTAAAAAACTTTACGAAACTTCACGGGAGTTCAACTCCCGTGAAGTTTTTTCACATAACAAAACTTCACGGGAGTTGAACTCCCGTGAAGTTTCGGAATTTTTTTTTCATAAACCGACCTGGTTTCAGCGCTGAGGCTGAAACCAGGTCGGTTTTTACAAATAAAACTGAAATGGGTCTTTTTTTGGGAATAGTTTATCAAATGGGTTGGTTTTGAAAATTTGTCCATAGATAGAAAGATACAAGGGAGTGAAGACAGAGAGCGACCTCTCTCTCTCTCTCTCCAAAGACCCAACAAAATTACATACCAGTCCCTTAATTCTTCCACATTTCTATTTTAATCCCTCTAATTTATTATCTTTGATATTTAGTCCCTCAAATCCTATTTTAGCTTACTTCGTTTGGTAGTACGCTGTTTCTATCGTGGTACACTTGAAAGCCGTGACATGATTGATTCACTGTAACAACTCAAACACAAGGGGTATAATCAAGATTAATTATTACTCAGCTTTATCCTACACAGGACGTAAGTTTAAACTAAGGACGGGCCGCCTAACCAAAAATCAATTTAAAGATATCCTTTTAGTCTAAGGAAAACTGAGACAATATTGATTTTTTTTTCTCCGAACAATTTTTTACTCAAAATAAGATTATGATAAATTTTAGTCTTGTTTTGAGGAGTTGCCGAACATGCTTGAAGAGACAAAACCAAAAGCTTCATTCTAGAAAACTTATATTACCAAATAATTACCTCCGAAGCATAGCCTAAGAGCTTTTCATACCCTGCGACCGAGGGGAAAGAAATTTTATGAGAAAAGATATAACAATAACCTTGTATGTTGGCTGGATTACTATGTCAAGTAGGATTCATGAATTGGCCAAAAGCTACCAATACCAAATGTACTAAATTCAAGTTTTAAATATAATTTAGGGGACGATATAGTAAATAGTAACTTCACATATTTAAGGGACTAATTTAACATCATGAAAGATCAAAGGTAACTTTGTATGTGAAAAAGTGAAACAGCCCAAATATACAAGGATCTGGAAAAAGAAAAGAGGGTTGTGTATGTATTACTCCCTCACGTATTTAACAATTACATATCAGTTCAATACATCTTTGAAATTGCTCACAAGTCCCTCAAATTTTAATTTGCAAATTGATCCCTCAACGATCAAAATATCCCACATCCTATGTTTTTGCGAGTACAGGGGTTTTTTGGGGCAAGACGTAAACTAAAAGGTATTTTGGTGATTGAAGGACGAACTTGCAAGATCCTGTAGGATTTCGAGTCGTTGAGGCACTTAAATGATTCGAGGGATCCACACGAAATTATTGAATGTGTGAGGGAGTAATACTACAAAGCCCAACAAGATGTTATATAAGTTTTGGGTTAAATAATGGGAGCACGAGGTGCATTTTGGGTTAAATAATTGGAGGACGAAGAATTGTTTGAGAGCGGGCCTACCAAGAATTGTTTGAGTTAAATAATGGGAGCACGAGGTGCATTTTGGGCAGCAAAACTGGAGATCTGGAAAATATTTATGCGCACCCAGATTGAAAACACCCACGTTTTAACCTCCCACAGGGATGGACCCACATGCACGAGGGTCAACCCAAATTCAATTATATATTTATCTATTTAATGATATAGGCATTTGTATACGAGTTGAGATAGCATCTCCTTTTGAGGATTTTTTTATTTTTATTTTTTATTATACTTTTAAAGGAATAGTTGAGATAGTATCTCAAGAGTAAGTATGAGAGAAGTTGTTTTTTGGAAAATTTGCTTCAAGACCCCAAAAATAAATTGTTGATGTGTTCCAACCCCCTGTATTATTTGTAATATGTATTAGCCCCAAAAATGAAAATTCTGTGTGATTCAGCCCTAATTACAATTCCCAAAAGAATAGATCCCCAAATTACCGCTCTCCTTCTCCAGATCTCTCCTTCTCTTCCAACAAACTTATCTCCTCTTCCACCGTTTCTCCAACCTCGTTGGGAACCTCCAACACTGCCGCCACCTCTGCCTCCCCTCGACCTCTACGACTCTATCCTCAGTCGTAGCCCTGTCGCCACCATTGCGTCGCCTCTTCTTCTTCCGCTGGAATCGCGAGATCTGGAGGAATCTAGGGCTAGGGTGGGGTCGCTGGAATCGCTGGGATTGGCCGAATTTGGTGATGATGGGGTCGGTGGTGGGGTGGTTGGAGAGACCCTCCTCGCCCTCGGCCTCCACATCTCCATCTCCACCACCTCCTCGTCCTCCTCCTCATCTTGCAAAGTCAACATGCGCCGCGACGCCAAGCACTTCATCGTCGACGACGCCCACCCGGTCCACGTCTACTGAGACCTCAAGAATGCCAAGTTCTCTGACGACCCCGAGCCCCTATCTGACTACTACGTCACCCTCATCTCCGACCACCAAGTCATCCTCCTCCTCGGAGACCTAGAAGCTCGGAGCCTATTTGATAATTGTTTGTGTACCCTATTTGATACTTGTTTGCATTTATTTGCTTTCTTTTTTTTGATAGTTTTGGGTGATTTATGATCTGGCCACCTAGGTCTGTTGTACTATGATGTTCTTGTGATGTGGGTTTGCGTCAAAATTTGATCTTGGCGAGTGTTTGCTTCATGCTTCTTTGTTTCATGACGATTTGTGGCTTGTTCGCGTGTCTTGATTCGTTATTTGTGTCCTCATGCAGATAAAATGAGTTTCCTTAGTTTTGTTGTATGAAAACTAATGGAAATCGAGCTTCATACATTGGATGTCATTTATAGTTGATTTGGTTCTTTGATTGTGAAGCTCCTTCTCTAGTTTACGTTCAAGTTATCCAAATTATATGGTTTAAAATAATGATTTTTTCTTGGTGATTATACTCCGCTATCGCGTTAGTGTTTTGTAACGTCGATGACGAAGACGCCTCCCTGGTCCCCGTCACCATCTCCTCGACTCGGTTCTCGTCTCCAAGAAAGAGCACGTGTTGTAGTTAACATGTTAACTGTTATAGTTAACATGTTAATTATTATATATAAACTGATAACTATCACAGTTTGCATGTTAACTATAATATGAACGCTGTTGACCTCTTTATTTTGATGATGTTTAACAAACAATTTACCACTAATGTTGTTTGTCTAGTATTTGTGTTTTTTTATTTATTGTAGACAAACAATAAATTGGAGGTTGGATGGATTGAGCCATAACGATCATATCAAATAGAGGTTGGCGGAATAGTAGGTGAAGCTATGTACAATTCAAGTTGAAGATCCAAGTTCAAGCTTCATCCACAAGATTACAAAGTCAAGCTATTGAAGATCAAGATCAAGCTTGGGTAATTTAGTTTAGGAGTTTATATTATGTGTGTTAGTACCTTAAGCTCAATATAATATACACACACACATTTATTGGTTTCCATGTATATATATAGTTATATATGTACATATATGTTTTGGTTTGATAGTTTTCAAGTTTTACTATGAAACAATTAAATATAATTAGAAAACATATTTTTGTTTCATACAATTAAATACAATTAGAAAACATATTTTTGTTTCATACTTACATGCATATATATGATTTTACCAATATCAATTTTATTTAATTCAATAAAATCATGTTTTAGTGCATTATATATGTATTTTGATAAAATACTATATTAATTGTTTATAGACTTTATAATAATAGTTTATATCTTTTATCAAGACTATACAATCAGTTCATAAAGTTTCAAAATGTTGTTTAAGTCAAAATATCAAAATATCAATTTTCAGGTTTACATGTTTTTTGAACATATTTTGCAAAATAATGATATTTTACAAATGGGAAATGCAATTTGGAAAATTCCTTTTGCAACATGTTCATTTACATGTTTATATACATTTCCCAAAGTTTCATTACTTTTGGACATCATTTGTTATTTTTAACAATTTTCCAAAAGTCAGAAAAATACTTTCAAAACCTGTATTTTCATATATCAGTTTGCGGTCGACCGTCACGGTCAACCACGCCTATGTTTTTCCCTCAGGAGCCAGCAAAAACTTTCACGATCGACCGTCTGCTCGAGAACTCTTGCGGTCGACCACCACGGTCGACCGGCGGTCGACTATAGCCGTTTTTGATCGTTTTCTCAGTTTTGATGACCTTTGCGGTCGACCGCGAAAAACTCACGATCGACCACCGATTGCCCAACGGTCATTTTGGTATAGAAGCAGATTTCTGATTCTTCGGGGGTTTTGGTCTTTTGTTTAGGATTTTTTCTGTTGGTTTCTCTTCCTATATAAACCCCTCAAACCCCTTCTACCAGCAATAACAATGAGAATGTTTTAAACAAGTTTAACAAGGGGTTTTAAGGTTTGTTTTGTGTGTTTTAAAAGAGTTTGGTTTGTGAAGACTGTTTCACAAGTGGATGAGATCATCTACATTGTTTGGGCTTCATCTTAATCCATCTCTCCATCTTGTTTTTCAGAGAAGAATTTCTAAACTCATATCTAGCTTTACATTTACATATTTGTTTGATTATCTTTTTTTAAAGCTAGTTTTTACATTGAGTTTATTTGTTTGATTATCTTTTTTTAAAGCTAGTTTTTACATTGAGTTTAGATTTAATAAATCTTATTGTTACATACGCCAACATTGAGCTTATAGTATTTACATATATAGTATAATTAGGGTTGTGAGAGTTTGTAACATTGATTTGTGCTTAATTGAGTTCTCATCCATTGTAGAGAACAAATATTGTTGTATTAGTGCTTAATTGTGAGTTTGATCTCGTGGAGATCAATTGTGTAGTTGTGAAGTTTTCGGTGAGCTAGAAAACCGAGTGTGAGGAGTGAACATTGATCGGTGAGCGTTGAAAACCGATATTGTGAGTGATTGTGAACG